GAGCTTGTTTTGAGTATCTCTTCTTGCTACCGCGGAAACTTTCTACTCTGCATACAGATATATTTTTGGGTATAAGTAGGATAGTTGTAGTTCTAGTCTCCATCTTGCGCTAGGTAGAAACACGACCCCTGACGACTCCGGACAGGCGACCGGTAGAAACACTGTGTCGGGTCTTTCGCCTGATCTGCGTTATGTGCTTCATTTACTTCCTTTTTAACGCAGTTACCTGCACTCGGTTCCATTCTTTTGTGTGGTGGATTACTGCACCTGCGTGATTGAACACTTGTGTGTTTGTGTCACTCTGACTGATGTTTGCTCATTAGTCCACGCACTAACCGGCGTAGCAATAGCACTACGGATTGTGTGAGTGTGTATCACTTCCCATACTTCCCATACTTCCCACACTCCCAACTTTCTGTCTTCCTCGATCGTGTCGTTTTTTTATCTTATTTTATTTTATTTTATTTTATTTTCTGCTATTCTGTTTTTCGATTCTCTTGTAGCCATGGACCATAGGGGTTGTCATTACTGTCACAGACCTGGCCATTTTATTCGCGAGTGCCGGACTCGGATGCGCGATATGGAACGACAGGCGAACCAGGCGAACCAAGCCTCCTCGTCGAATGCTGCCTCTGCTCCGATTCTACCAGCACCAGGCGCCATTATTCCTTACCAAGCTCCCTCCAATGATGTTCGGCATTACCAAGGGACCGGAGGATACAATGGTGGATCCAATAGTGGATATAACAGTGGTGGCTATAACAATAGCTACAGGAGGTCGTGGAACTCTGGCCAGAGTTATCAAGGCGATAAAGTCGAAAGAATGTGGAATTGGATGTCGGAGGAGTTGGCAGAAAGAGAACGTACTAAGAGAGAGAAGGATGAAGCAACCAAGAAGGAGAACGAGGCGAAGCAACAGAAGGAAGCCGAAGAGATGAAGTTGGCTGACAAGAGAGAGAAAGAAGAGTTCAAGGCAAGCATTGGATTGATGGTTCACAACCAAATGAAACAAGTCTGCGAAGAGGTTTTGGGAAAGAAGATGGGCGATGGCGATCTTATGATCTCAAAAACCGTTGACGAAATCCGAAGGAGAGCTGAAGCAGAGAAGCCTAATGACAAGGACATGGATGCCTGTCGCAAGAAAGATGAGGAAATATTCCGCCTGAAGTGCTCAATGGCCGAACTTCAGAGGAAGACCGATCAGACGATCGACTGATCAGACGATCGGAGCAGATCAAGAAATTCAATCGTTAAAATCAGATAATCGGCACCTCATTCAGGAAGTTATCTACCTGAAGGAGCAAGTTAAAAGTCTTCTTCGACGCACTACTGTAGACAACAGGGCGGAAGGCACAATTCCTGTGGCTGCAAAAGGCAAGGCTAGTGCAACGGGCGAATCCACTCCAGGTGATTATGTTAAGCTGTCTGAGGCGTACAGAAGGATTCGAGACGACAAAGATATGGCTGAGAGAGAAGTGCAGGCGTTAAAGGAAAGGATTGCTAATATCGGGTCTGCAGCGGTCTCGACACCTGCAAGCGTGAAGAGGAAACGGATTGCAAGGAAGAGTGTCTCCCCTTCTAACTTACGGGTCAGGCTACACAAGGCGGCTAGCCCTAGCAAATCAGGTGACTCTGGCGGGCATGCTCCGGTGCGCTTCGTTAAGCTCAACAATGAAGAACGTGAAGGGTTCCACAGACGGGTGACTGGTGAGTTGTCCAAGTTGAAAAAACAAGAGATTGAGAAGTTTTGCGCTGAAGAGAAGCTCGTCTGTATAACCATCAAGGATTCTGCTGAGGAAATTGCCACTATCTTTACAGATCGGGTTTTTGGTAAACGCACGACTCGACGTGTGTTTGGGGAAAACAACGAACCTGAAGATTCGGAGGGGTCTACAGATCTGACAGGTGACAGCGACCATGAGGAAGCTGATGTCTCTGGTGGATGCTAGGAACGGCCACCGAGCGTTGGTACTTTATCTAGTCTGGCTCTCACATGCCGAGGCGCGCGCGAAAACATTAAGGTGCTTAAGGACAGTAAGATTGACAATGTTTTCCGATTGGTGGTTGTTTCGTTGATTCTTTCTGGACATATTCCGTTGTGTGCAAAGTTTATCCCATTTATTCGCTATTTATTCTCTGTTGGTTACGATTTCGTTAGCTTCCCTGGCCCACTGGTCTATGCATTGGTATCTCCGTGGTGCAAACACGTGTACATTGGGTGTACTGGTAGAGCTGTTCGATATCGATGGAAGGAGCATGTGAGTAGGGTGTTTGCTCTGCTAAACAATAACGTTAGGAACCACCAGCTTTACAGGTGGCTTCGTCTTAATCGGCTTTGTGGATATGTTGCCATACCGATCGCGCTTGCTAATAGTGACCAACTGCTACAGGCCGAGTCTTACTTCATCCGCACTTGTAATCCTTTTCTCAATTCTATCCCTGCTTATGGTAGACGACGGGAGTCTGAGACGGAAGAAGCGACCAGGTAAGCGGGAACGGAGGAAGTATCGACATGATGTGAATAGTGACAAGACGATTGTGGGTAGTGCTAAGTGTCCGGTCCTTTTCCAGTCTCCCAATGGCATCCGTTGTTCCAACCTACTCACGGTTCTAGATGCTGTTTTCGACAGAAGGTTGTGAGCACGACCATTCAATGTATGGGGGGTGACGTCTTGATTGATCAATGGAAAGTATTAAAACGTTGCTATGGGTCGTCGGTAGTTCATACTGAGGGTGTTACGGAGTTATTCAGACACTGTAGGGGAAAGTTGCTATCGGGTGTTACTTTGATTTGTGAGAAAATTTCGAGATATTGCTCGAAATTCGAAAAGCTGAAAGCTCGCTTGACTGACATTTTGAGATACCCTGCCAAGATTAGGAAGCTGTATTTCGAGCCGCTGGATAGGCTTATCCACCTGTACAACTGTATTCGATGTTTTTCCAGAAAGGAGAGTAGATCCTCCTTGAGGGCGACTATAGCCCGTGTCGTCAAGAATATGTTCAGTATTAGGCTTAGGATTCGAGTGACCGTTAAAATTCCTTTTGACGCTGAACTGTCCAAGAAACGTGTCCACGATCTCTGTGTCTCAACTATTCACTCGTCTTCCATTCGTGGTCTACTTAAACAACTGATCTGTCGAAAATTGAGGGTCGTGTGGGTTCGTAACAGATCTGTTGCAGATTCTCTCCAGAATTTTTGTGATCATGCGCGTCGCCGTGTGTTGAGTTGCACTTGTTCCAGTATTGACGTACCTAGGAGTGATGGCCATGTAGCCTTTCGTTTCAGCAACGGGGCATGGGTCCCGGAGAGTTTGAAAAATAGCAAGAACATTCCGTATCCGTGCTTTCGACGAAATTTAAAGAAGTTAAGGAGTCGCATTATGGATGGGTTAAGCGAGATACAGAAAAACACCAGTATTTTTTTGATCCCTGATTCTGATCTACGTAGTTGTTTTAATAATGATGTTCGTAGGAGTAATGATTATTCTGGTCAGGGTCTTGCCGAGATCGAAGCGATTAAGAGCAGGCTCGATGGGCTGGTCATATGCCCCATTGATCATAATACTGGTGACACATTTGTGTGCTGCCCTATCATCTATCTGAGCGGTATGCAGAAATTGTTCACTGATAACAAGGGGTTCGTCCTCGACAACCGTACGGAGCAGGACATTGTCTCGGGGATCCACAGAGAGTATAAGAAGCTTGGCTTTGAGAAGATTGCATCTTTCAATAAGTTAGGACGATTGGGTTGCACGTACTCTATACCTAAGCATAAAGACGTGTCGAAGTGGAGACCTATATGCCCATCTTTTACAGATCTGTTAGTAAGAGTTAGTAGGGTCGTATCTAAAGCCGTTAATAAGCTTCTATGGAATCTTCCGAAGGACTCACACTTTAATCTAAAATGTCCGAATGATATGATGGGGAGACTCGATGATTTCAACCAGAGCTTAAAAACAGGAGATGGCGTGGTCACTTCAAGTTTTGATGTTAAGGAAATGTTTACTGCATTGTCCCATTCTTCAATTATTAAAGCTGTTGAATGGCTCGTGGGCTCTTATGAGGAAATGAACTTCACTGACATTTTCGTTAAAAAAAGAGGAAAAGGTGCAATATTGGGTTGACGCAAATGCCCTCCTGCCGGATTTGCTCGTATCAAGTTCTCCACTCTTGTCACTTTGGTCAACTTCGACTTAGATAATACTTTCGTATCAGCTATTTGTCTACTCCTACAGCAAAAGATTGGTATTCCTATGGGAAAGCCTTCAAGCCCTGCTCTCGCATGCCTTCTCTGCGCATTTAATGAGGCGGAATTCCTTAATCATCTGGGCAGAGAACAACGACTGCTATTCGGTATTAGATTAGTAGATGATGTCTCAGTTTTTTCTAAATTCTGTACTTCTTCTCCCTATAGTAAGACTTTGGCGGAACTCCGCCTTAATGATTTTAGATCCTGTTATGATAGCAATCTTGTCTTGGAGTTGACTCGTAACAGTGACTCTTGGGATTTTCTGGGATGTGTGATCAAAGTTTTTCATCAACCTTGTTCGGTCCTCTGTGCTGCCATTCACAAGAACCAACGAGCTATTCTAAAGGAAGGGATTGTGTTCCAAAACCTGCAAGATTTTGAGTCCTACTCGGACAGACAGCAAAAAA